GGCTGGGGGAGGGGGTTCGTGTCTTAATGGGGACAGAGTTTCAGCTGGGGGAAATGAAGGGTTCTGGGGATGGATGGTGGTGATGGCTGCACAACAGTGTGAATTTACTTCATGAACATGCTGCCAAACAATACACTTAAACATGGTTAAAACGGTAAATGTGATGCTGTGTGTAATTTACTATGATCAAAAAGAATGAGCTTGAACCACACATGCTGATGTTGGAAGCAGTCCTCAAGGGACAAAGGCAGGGCATCTGTGATGCTGGCCTTTCTGGGAGGTTGGTGCTGGGCAGCATGGTGAGTGTCACTTTCTCTGTCGCATATTACCATGTCCTTCTGGAACTAGAACTGAGTCTGACTGGAACCACAGTCTAGGGCAACCTGGATTCCTCTGGAGGGTTCCAGCAGTCCGGACACAGCCATGCACTGCTCCTGCTCCTCCTCTTGGCCAGTGGGGCTGAGGCCTTTCGCATCTGCGCCTTCAATGCCCAGCGGCTGACGCTTCCCAAGGTGGCCAGGGAGCCTGTGATGGACACCTTAGTTCTGGTAGGTTCATCACTGCAGGGAAGCTTTGCCCCTAAGGACCATGACCCCAAGCCCCTCACCCTGCCTGACAAGGGGCATGCCCCAGAGAAGAGAGGACATCAAGGGACACAGGTGTGGATGTGTGGAGCACATTCCTTCCCCATTGTTGGCCTCAGTCTCCTCCTCTGTAAAAATGGGTGCAATGTGGTGGGGATGGCATCCAGCCTTAACCCAGGTCCTTTCTAGCCTCAGTGCTCTCTTGAGGCTGTAGCCAGAGTGCCAGTTCCCCAGGGACACCACCCCTCTCCCAGGGCGGCTGGCATTGAGTGGGGCTGGCCTTTCCGGTGTCCTGCAGATCCTGGCTCGCTGTGACATCATGGTGCTCCAGGAGGTGGTGGACCCGACTGGCAGTGCCATCCCCCTTCTGCTTCGAGAGCTCAATCGGTGAGGAAGGCTCTGTGGGTATAAACTGGGCCCCCAGCCCCAGAACCACAGGGCTGCTGATCCTGGTTTCCCCTTTCCCAGCAGATTGGATGACTCTGGGCCCTACAGCTCCCTGAGCAGTCCCCTGCTGGGGCGCAGCACGTACAAGGAGAAGTATGTGTACATCTACCGGTAAGCACTGGTGGGGACCAGGGCAGACGTGGCGCTTGGCCCAGTGTGAGATGGCACAGTTGTCCCAAGGGTGGCTCTCGCCTTCTCATCGCCCTTTTCCTCCTCAATGGCTTTATTCTGGGATCTTCCTTCTCTATCCCAGATGGCTTTGGTGCCCACATGTCCCTACAGCGGAAGGCCTTCCTTCTCCACGCACAGATGTGGGGCCCCTCTGCCTCTCTGCTGTGGAAGCCACTGGGGCTCAGGGCGAGGCCGGCCCCCTCCTGGGGAGTGGCCGGCTGCAGCTGCTGGGAATAGGCAGAGCCGGTTTTACAGAAACAGCCCTAAGTCCCTGGGAGGACGGCCTGGGGGAGTCAGGATCAAGACACCAAGGGTGGCGGTAGTGGAAGGAGACCTGTTTCCAGATACAGATGAAATTATGTAATGTATAGAGTTCACTCCTAAGTGATGGGGGAACCAGAGACACGTCCACAGAGGAGTGCTCACAGCAGCACCACTCTTGACAGGCCCAAAGCAGAAACATCCAGTGTCTATCAGCTGATGACTGGATAAACAAAAGGTGGTCTCCATACGGTGGGATATCATTCAGCCTAAGAAGGAGTGAAGTACTGAGTCATGCTAGAGCATGGAAGAATCTGGAAAACCTATGCCCAGGGAAAGAAGCCAGATACCGAAGACTATATATTATTTGATTCCATTCATGTGAAATGTCCAGAATAGGCAAATCTACAGACAGGAAACAGATTGGAGCCTCCAGAGGCGGAGGGGGAGGGGAATGGGGACTGCTAATGGGTGTGAGTTTCTTTCTAGGGTGATAAGAATGTTCTAAAATTGATTGTGGTGATGGTTGCACAACCTTGTGTGTGGACTGAACACCACTGAATTGTGCTTTTTAAACAGGTGAATTTTACAGTAGGTGAATTATCTCAATTTTTTTTAAGTTCTAGACAGAAAGGCTAGGAAGGCTGTGCCCACATGAAATGGAGCTGCTGATGGAGGGCCCCCTCCCTGAGTGCCAGCTCTGGTGTTGGCACTTGCAAACCACAGTCCGTGACACAGGGCCGCTGATTTTTGTCCCTTGGTCCACTAGGTCTCACAAGACGCAGGTCCTGGATTCCTATGTGTACGATGATAAGGATGACCTCTTTGCCCGGGAGCCCTTTGTTGGCCAGTTCTCTTTGCCCAGCAAGGGTAGGAGAGAGGGGAAGGGGGGTCTGGCTGGTCCTAGCGGGGGTTTGGTCACCCAGAGCAGACTGGGCAGAGAAGGGCCAGGAGTAGGTGGGAGCCCCCTGTCCCTGGGGCCTTGCAGTCCTTCCCAGCCTGGTGCTGGTCCCGCTGCACACCACTCCGAAGGCTGTGGAGATGGAGCTGAATGCCCTGTACGACGTGTTTCTGGATGCCTCCCAGCACTGGCAAAGCAAGGTACGTCTGGGCAGACTGTCTGGGAGGAATGGGGACAGGATGGCCGGGTGGCCAGGCCGGACTCCTGCTTCCCTCTCCAGGATGTGATCCTGCTTGGGGACTTCAATGCTGACTGCGGTTCACTGACCCAAAAGCGCCTGGACTCCCTAGTCCTCCGGACGCAGGCAGGCTTCCAGTGGGCGATTGCGGATGGGGTGGACACGACAGTGCGGGCCAGCACCCACTGCGCCTACGACCGCATCATACTGCACGGGGAGCGCTGCCAGGGCCTGCTGCGCTCCGCAGCTGCCTTCCACTTCCCCAGCAGCTTTGGGCTCACCGAGGAGGAGGTAATGGACGAGGCCAGAACAGGGTCACAGGGAAGCCCCCAGCTGCAAGACTGATGCTGTGTCCCACTGCCCCCTCAGGCCCTCAACATCAGCGACCACTACCCTGTGGAGGTGGAGCTGAACCGGGCGGCGCACAGGCTGCCGTGCCTCAGCCTGGCCACGGTGCTGCTGCCATCGCTGCTGCTGCTGCCACTCTTGCCCCCACAGCTGGGCCTGGTGGCCTGAACCCACCCGTACCTGCTGCCCAGCCCTGGGCAATGCTGCCTTCAGGATTCAAACCCGGGTGGAGGGTTAGCTCAGGGGAGAGCGCATGCTTAGCCCGCACAAAGTCCTGGGTTCAATCCCCCGTACCTCCGTTAAAAACAAATAAAAATATTAAAAATGAAAAAAAATGAAGGTTCCCCCCCACAGAAAAGGACTCAACCACCCCACTGCCCACCTCCGCTGCCCATCTCGCCCAGGGCCAAGGCGGCTCCTAAGGGGCTTCAAGGGCAGCCCTGCCCCATCAGAAGGAACGCAAGCCTTTCCTGCCTTTCCTTCACTTTGCCTTGTGTTCTTTGGGTGGGCCT